GTGTGCGACGAAAACGGTCCGAAATGTGGAGAAATGGGAACTGGTTGCTTCACCACGACAATGCTCCAGCCCACACAGCTTTGACGGTCCGACATTTTTTGACAAACAACAACATGGTGATTGTGCCTCATCCACCTTACTCACCCAACCTGGCTCTGTCGGACTTTTTTTTGTTTCCACAGATGAAGAGAAGTCTGAAAGGAAAGCGATTCCGTGATGTGGATGAAGTCAAAGAAAACACGCTAAAGGCTTTGAACAGTATCCAGCCTCAAGAATTCCAGCACTGTTTTGAGTAGTGGCAAAAGCGTTGGGACAAGTGCATTAATGCACATGGACAGTACTTTGAAGGGGACTAATATACAGTTCAATAAAAATGCAGAAATAAAAAATAACAAAAATAAATTCCGGTTATTTTTGGGTCCCCCCTCATATAATGGGTACCAGGGGTCCTTTCCCAGGGATAAAGCGGCCGGGGCATGAAACTGACCACTCACTCCATCTAGTGCTGAGGTCAAGAAAATGTGGATCTATACATTCACTCCACCATACATATTTGAGATAATGGCAATAGAAGTGTGAAACTTTGACAGGTGTTACACACTTGTTGATTGCTTGCCTGTATGCCATGTATTCATCTACTGAATAAAATGCATTTAAAATAAGATAATCTTTTAGCCATTGTTTAAAAGTATTAATATTGTCTTTCAAAGAATATATATTGTATGGCAAGTTATGAAATATTCTAATGGATGAAAAATGCACACACTTGAATGGAAGATAATCTCACGGAAACATGTAGTTTATTATGCCACCTAGTACTTAATTTGTGTATGCCATTATTCACCTGATACATATCAGGATTTTTTAGTACAAACAAGACTATGGAATATATATATATATAAACAGGGGACAGTAAGTATGCCCCTTGTCTTAAAGTCTTCCCTACATGAACTCCTTGGCCCTAATCTTAACAAAACTCTTAATGCTCTTTTTTGTACAGTAAATATACTTTTCATTGATGAAGAAGAGCCCCCAAAAATGATACCATGATTAAGTTGAGCCTGCACATGAGAACAGTAAACCATATGTAAAACTTGAAGAAAGCAGTCTTCTGGGATTTGGCACTGTGTATATGTGGTGTTAACCGACGTTTCGGAGGAACGTATCGCCCCCATCTTCAGGGTTGAAGAAGTATAGGTAAATCTGCAAGCGACAACACCGTGAGACACGGTCAAATAGTCACCGCCGTGAAAGCCTCAAATCTTACATGTAAAACTTGTCCACTCACCGTAGGCTGCAATTTTCTAAGCATGAAAATTGCAGTACTTAATTTTTTTATTAAATTATCCAAATATTGTTTCCACTTGAGATGACTGTCAAGGCACACACCCAAGAAATTAACACTTTCATCAATATTAAGAACTTGATCGTTATATTCCACATGTAATGGATAGTCCATGGTCATAGGCG